GAACTGAGGTGTGAATTGTGTCCAGGTTAGTTTTAGGGTCAGGTGGGTACCTGTGCCTGTGAGGTTAATTTTAAGGTAAATGATCAGGGTTAGGATACAAAATTTCCAAAAAATGAATGGAAGTCAATGGAAAGTCCCCAAATGGATAGCTGTGCATATATGTGTGTGTGTGTGAGTGTGTGTGTGTTGGCCTGCAGTGGCCTCTGGCAGGGGTGTCCACCACATGTCTGATACCAGCAGGGACAGAAGTTTGCATCCACTCATTGGGCTTTTAATGCTTGAACCACTCTTTTTTAGGTTGGAAACATTATTTATTTTAAATACCAGACTTGACCTCACAAGTTTGAATTAAATTTTCTGTTCCACACAGAATCAACACTTTACATACAAACTCAAACACAAAAAAATGGTTCAAATAAATCATTAAAACCCTCAAATTCCTGTGCCTATTGACCACAACACTAAGAAACAACTACATCTCTTGAGTTCAGTCTTCTGCACTCACCTGAGCGGCATCTTGATTGCAATGTAGCGATCTATAGCGATGGCCAGCAGGCTGAAGATGGAGTTCTGCGTGAGGACCAGCACAAAGCAAGCGATGAACAGGCAGCCGAAGAAGTTGGAGCAGAAGCCGGTGCTGATGGCGATGGCGAAGGGGATGGCCAGGACGCCCACGGCGATGTCGGCCACCGCCAGCGACACCACRAAGAAGTTGGTGATGCTCTGCAGGTTGCTGTTGAGGCACACGGCCCAGCACACCAACACATTGCCGAGCACAGAGAAGAGGGCGATCAGCAGCTCCAGCAGGATGTAGATGATGGAGGCAGCGAGCTCATCTGGCATGATGACACGAAGGGCGAGGTCACAGGTGAGGAGGGAGGAAAACACTCAACGTCCATAGCTGCAGCCCGACAGCTGCTGAGCCTCCTCACCTCCAGTGCCGTCTGAAGCGATCGGCACTAAAGGGAGGAAAAGAAATAAAAGCAAGTCCGTCACATCTGCTCAACTCAAACAGCTGAAAAACACAAGTTGGGCTCAGCTTCACACGTCATCTCTCTTCAGGCTCCTGACAACAACAAAAAAAAAGCTCTCCGCTCCGTCCCCTCAGTGCTGCTTTCCCATGAATCCTTCAAGCACCGAGAAGATGCCAACGATGCACATCACCGGAACATTCTGCAGCTGGAGATAAAGAGGAGCTGAAATGAAAAAGAGGAAACACATTCAAAAGGAAGTGACTTTGAATAATGCCAATTAGAAATTCATGTCAGAGAGAGAAGTGAAGTGTTCCTACATAAAAAAAACTAAATTGCGTACTATTTTCCGTTCTTGCCTGTTTTATTTCCTGCTTCTGTTACATTGACAGTGACACAAAGGGCAACATTTAATGGTTTCTAAAAGCAACAGCAGCTTTGATATAAAAGTCTTTAAAAGCACATCGGTCTCATTAATGATGCTGTCAGTGTTCAGCTCAGTGGAACTACTGGTTGCTTTTACAAACAGGCCCTGCTGACCCCGCAGAGCTGCAGTCTGTGTAATGTAACACTGCAGCAAGGCACTCGCTGACGATGCTCAGGAAATAAGAAGAACAGAAACAGCAGCGTCACAAGAAAGAAAAGCTCCAGCTGTGCTGAGAATGTGATCTGAATCAAGTTTGAGAGCAAAATTTAGATTTTTCTGGAAGTAGGGCTGCAACGATTAATCGACGACTAATCGATTATTAAAATAATCCATGACTAATTTAATAATTGATTAATTGTTTTCTTTTTTAAACAACGGATTTAAAATTAAACACTTATTGGCATTTGAAAGTAAAAAGGCAGAGCTGTAGTTAGATAACATGTGCTTGTTAGCACAACTGCTAGCAAAACATTCCTGTGGTTGTCACATGACCAGCTATGACCAGACAGCACCTGAAGTGATGCTCAGGGCAGTCTGTACCATGAAACTGCTGCACAAATCTATCTGAAGTACAGCAAAGGACTTTAATATCAGTTACCAAACACTGGTAAGATACAAACCAGAAGTCCATCAGAGGTTTCTGGGGATGAAACTGGTCCATTGGTGCCTGTGAGAAACACCAGGACAGCCTGTTTACATCTGTCAGACCTGTGATGCAGACAATGACTGAATA